AGACGGGGCCAAATGCAGTTCCCGGGGAAGTAAAAAGCAAATAAATGACAAATAAATAATAAATGAATGATAAATAAACAAATAAATAAATAAATAAATGGAAAATGAACAGTTAAAACGCAGTTTCGAGACCACCGGCTCGCCGAGCTGTCCGTACACTCGACCTGCAGGCGCTGCAACTACAGACGCTGCAGCACTCGGGGCAAATGGACTTATTATTCGCAATTAAAAATGTTTATTTTGATTTAATTTTACATTTTAAATTCCAAATTTGCGTTTTTATTTTCGTTTTTGGGTTTAGTTCGGGTTTTGGCGTCTGTCTCGTTTGAGGTGTCCATACACCTCGGCGAGGCGGCGCCTCTTGGTCCAGTGTCTTGGTCTTGTCTTTCATTTTATTTCTTCTTTCGCGCGGAACTGCCGCCAAAGACGATTCAAATGAGAAGAACTCTTCATTTTCTTCATTTAAATTAATTTAAACTTTTAAAAAGTGGTTTGTTTTCGCTGCAGCGCCGCAGTTGCTGCTGCTGCTGCTGCGGTGTACGTACCCCACGGGAGCGAGACCACCGGTGCGCCGCCGGCTGGCGGCGCGCGGCGACGTTTAGTGCGGAATTTTCTCCCAAAAGAAACTCCGAAGTTTTTAAATGAATTGTTTTTGTTATTTGAATTAAATGAATTAAAAAAAAAGGAAAAAGGAGCTTCAAATGGCGGAGAACGGACTTCGGCGGGCGGGTGGGGAGGCTGCGGCTCGGCCGGTGGTTTGGGGTGTATGTACAGCGTTTGCGGCTAAAAAAAGGCGTTTTTTTCGAATTATTTGAATTAAAAATGAAGTTTTAGTTGAAATAAAACGAAATAAATCGAAAAAGAGTCTAAAGAGCAGCAGAAACAGCAGCAGGAACTGCAGCAGCAGCCCCAGCACACGCCGGGGCACACCTGCTGCTGCTGCACCTCAGCCTGCTTTCCTGCTGCTCTTTCGCGGGATTTGGGGTGTCTGCTGAGCTCTGCAGCAGCAATTAACTCAATTAAAATCACTTGAGTCAATTTGTTTTCTTCTTGGTGTTTTTTGGACCTTTGTTTTCCGAAAAGGGAAGGAAACAGCAGCAGCAAACCGCAGCAGCAGCAGCAGACGGCAGCAGCACCACTGGACGGACCGCCGCAGCAGCAGCAGCAGCAGCAGCAACAGCTGCAGCGCCTGCTGCCAGTTGCGAGCGTGGGGTCTCGTGCTTTGAGTTTTTTGCTGTTGGTTTTGTGTCTGTCTCTGTAGTGTCTTGCTGCTGCGTTGTCTCTGTCCATTTGCTGCTGCAGCAGCAACTGCCGCTGCTGCTGCTGCTGCTGCTGCTGCTCCCGACAAGATTTGCGGCTTTGCTGCTGCTGCTGCTCGGAAGCTCCGAAACAGAAGCTAAAGACAGAGGTGGGTGCACTGCGCTGCTGCTGCTGCTGCAGCTTCTGCGGTTGCTGCTGCTGCTGCTGTGGCTGTTGCTGCTGCTGCAGCTGCGGCTACTGCTGGCGCTGCAGCGGCAGCAGCAGCTCCCACCACTGCTGCTGCTGCTGCAGCAGGCAGCAGCTGCAAGTGGTTCGCTGCGAAGCTGCTGCTGCTGCTGCTGCTGCAACAGCAGCAGCAGCAGCGGCAGCAAAGCAGCAGCAGCAACAGCAGCGGCACCTCCCGCTGCTGCTGCTGCTGCTGCTGCTGCAGGCTACTTCTCTTTATATGCAAAATCACTTTGTGGGGTCTCTTCTTGCTGCTGCTTTTGCTGCTCAAATGCATTTTAATTAATTCTTCTCAATTTATATTATTATTTTCTCCATTGCTTTTGCTTGTTTTGCTGCCTCGCTTAAACTGCTGCTGCTGCTGCTGCTGCTGCTGCTGGTGCTGCAGCGGCAGCAGCAGCAGCAGCAACGCGTGCTTGAATCTTCTGTATCTGATTTTGTCTCGGTTTCATTTGGCCATTTTATTTAATTTGTTTTAATTCTTTTTTATTTCTTTATTCTTCTTTAATGGCTTTTATTTAATTTTAATTACTTTTACATTTTCTTTAAATGCATCTTTCAAATTTCTTATTTTGATAATCTCGTGTCTTGCTGCTGATGTAAAACTGCATCATTTCGTTTCTGCTGCTGCTGCTGCTGCTGCTTCTGCTGCTGCTGCTGCTGCTGCTGCTGCTGCTGCTGCTAACTCTGTTTCTGCTTCTGGTGTTTCTGCCATTTCGGTTGCTGCTTCTGCTGCTGCTCTTACTGGTGCTGCTGCTGGCGTTATTGCTGCTGCTGCTGCTCCTGCTGCTCTCGCTGCTGCTGCCGCTATTGCTACCGCTGCCATTGCTGCTGCTGCTGCCGCTCCTGCTGCTGCTGTTGCTGCTGCTGCTGCAGTTGCAGTGTCTGCTGCAGTTTTTTTTTTGCTGCTTTGTAGATTTGAAAGTGAAGTTTGCATTTATTCTAAATCCGTTTCATTTTTGTTTTCCTTTTAATTTAAATTTGAAGTCCTCCTCTTATAATATTTGTTATTTATTATTTAATTTGTTATTTATTTGTTTTTATTTATTTTAATTTTTTGCTTTCATTTTGCCTGCATGCGCTGGGGTGTACGTACACCTGGTGAATGTGTGGGTTTCGCGTTTGCGCGTTTTTGGGTCTTTTTGGCGAATTTTTGGATCATTTTGTTTCTTTTTGAACTCTTTTTAATATTTTTTGTTTAAAAAGAAGAAATTAATTCTTTTATTTCTCTTTTTTGCGCTTTTCGCTTTCGTTTTCCTCTCTTTTTGCTGCTTTGCTGCTCCTCGCTCGACTGGCCGCTCGCGTTGCATGCGCTGAGGTGTATAGACACCTCGACTCCCCACAAAGCCCTTTTCGCATTTGCGGATTTGTCGGAGTTTTATTTCTTTTGATTTGTGAAGAGTTGGTGCAGCAGCAGCAGAAGCAGCAGCAAAAGACGAGAATTAGTCCATTAGAATTATTGTTTCTTTCTCAAAAAAACTTTGCTGCTTCTCTCGGTGTCTCTTTCTCCTTCTCTCTCCTCACTCTTCGTTTGCTGCTGTCACCGAGTGGCTAGCTGGCTAGTGGCTAGCTAGCTAGCTAGCTAGCTAGCTGGGTGGCCGTTTGGCTGACTGGCTAGCTAGCTGGCTAGCTGGCTAGCTAGCCGGCTAGCTGGCTGCCTAGCTAGCTCCCTAGCTAGCTGTCTGCTGCGTAGCTGGCTAGCTAGCTAGCTAGCTAGCTAGCCAGCCAGCGCCGCAAAAGATGCAGACTTAGTTCCCCCGTACGCTGCCTTCAGGACGCCGACCTCGGTGCAGTGAAGCCCGGAGCAGCAGCAGCAGCAACAGCAGCAGCGGAAGCAGCAGCAACGGCAGCAACAGCAGCAACGCCAGCAGCAGCAGCAGCAGCAGCAACAGCAACAGCAACAGTAGGAAGAGCAGCCAAAGGAGCAGCTACGGTAGAGTTAAAGGAGGGAGCAGCAACAGCAAGGTCGCCAAAGCGTGATTATTGTTTTCTTCAGCAGCAACCGCAGCAACAGCAAAAACAGCAGCAGCAGCAGCAGCAGCAGCAGCAGCAGCAGCAGCATGGTTGCTCCTAGCCTGCGGACTTTTCCTCCTTTACCCATTTCGCTGGCTGCCCATGGCGCCGCGGAGCAGCAGTGCATTTGGAGGGGCCCTCTCCGTTTTTTTGAAGCAGAAGAGCTGCTGAGCAGCAGCAGCAGCAGCAGCAGCAGCAGCAGCGGCAGCAGCAGCAGGAGCTCCGACGGTGCTTGGGCGGCGAACGCCTCCCCGGTGCAGGACTCCTGCCTTGCTGCTGATGAGGGCCAGGCAGCAGCAGCAGCAGCAGCAGCAGCAGCAGCAGCAGCGGATGGACAGCTGACTGCAGCAGACACAGCAGCAACAAAGGATACAAGAGACGCTAGAGCGGCAGCAGAGGTTGCTGCTGCTGCTGCTGCTAAGCAGCAGCAGACGGCCCAGAGCCGCATCGGAGTTCCCGGGAGCCCAGCAGCAGCTGCGAAGGGGTCGGCGTTCGCGGGTTCTGCTGCTGCTGCTGCTCCGGTTGTTGCTGCTGCTGATGCAGCAGCAGCAGCAACAGCAGCAGCAGCAGCAGCCGGCGATTTTGCCCCGGCGGGAATTGCTGCTGCTGTCAGTGAGCAGCGCCGCCGCAGCAGCAACAGCACGAGCAGCACAACTGTGACCAGCGCGAGCGACGGCAGCAGCAGCAGCAACAGCAGCAGCAGCAGCAGCAGCAGGAGCAGCAGCAGCAGCAGCTATCTCTGCCCCCCCCCGCCCTGCCTGCGGCCGCAGCCCCCGCCAGACTTATCTGTGGAAGGTGAAGAAATGGATTTGCTGCTGCTGCCGCGGCTGAAGTATTCTTGGGAAGACACAGAAGATCCTTTTTGCTGCTGCTGCATGCTGCAGTCTGCTGCAGCAGCAGCAGCAGACAGCAGCAGCAAGGAAAAGTCAGCAGCAGCGGTGGCCATTCATGGGCTTTCGCAGCAACTCAGTGAAGCATTAGCCAAATGCATGGGCTGAAGTTTTTGCTGCTTTAGCAGCAGCAGCAGCAGCAGCAGCAGCAGCAGCAGCAGCAGCGTTTTTGCAGCAATAAAGTCGGCAGAAGGTGCAGCAAGAACAGCAGCACGAAGTGCAGCAGCACCTAGCAGGCAGCAGCAGCAGCAGAACTTGCTGCTGCTGCTTTATATACCGGAGCGCAGCAAGGTGCAAGAACAGCAGCACGAAGTGCAGCAGCACCTAGCAGGCAGCAGCAGCAGCAGAACTTGCTGCTGCTGCTTTATATACCGGAGCGCAACAAAGTTGTCCTAGAAGTCTGCAGCTGCTGCTGCTGTTTTTGCTGCCGGTGCTGCTGCTGCTGCTGCTGCTGCTGCGGCTCCAAGCTGCTGCTGCTGCTTGCGTATGGATCTGGTCAAGGCCTGACAAACAGCTGGGGCGGTTTTTTGTTTCGCCAGCCCGCAACAGCAGCAGCAGGGGGAGCAGCAGGAAGTGCAGCAGCAGCAGCAGCAGCAGCAGCAGCAGCAGCAGCAGCAGCAGCAACAGAGGGCGACTATCAAGAGAAGGCAGCTGATTCTTTTTTGCTGTTCTCTGTCGCCAATGTGTTTATTATTATTAAGGTAAACTGTAGGTAGGTTTATTTTTTTTTTCCTGTTTTCCATTATTGGGGAAGCAATGCAGCAGCAGGAAGCAGCAGCAGCAGCAGCAGCAGCAGCAGCAGCAGTTGCGGCGGCAGTGCTGGCTGTAGCAGCAGCAGCAGCGGTGGCAGTAGCACGCACAGGTGCAGCCACAGAACAGCAGCAGCTGAAGGTGGTGGCGGCAAAGACATCCTGTTGAAGCAGCAGCACAGCAGCAGCAGCAGCAGGAGCAGCAGCAGGGGCAGCAGCAGCAGCAGCAGCAGCAGACTGCATGCAGTGATGCAGAATTCTTTAATGCATTTTTCGGGTCCAGTGGACCATTGGTTCAAAGCCATCAGCAGCAAATTGGCCAAGGCTTGAAGTTTTGTTCAAGCAGGGCCTGTTGAGGCCAGCAGCAGCAGCAGCAGCAGCAGCAGTATAGCTGCAGTAGCAGCAGCAGCAGCAGCAAAACCGCTGCTGCTGCCTGCAAGTCTTTTGAGCACAAGAGACGCTTTCGAAGCAGCAAAATGCAACAGGACTTTCAGCTCGCTGGCCAGGGAGGGACGAAGCAGCTGCTGCTGCTGCAGCAGCTGTTACTGCAGCAGCAGCAGCTGTTGCTGCAGCAGCAGCAGCAAACGCAGCAGCTGCCGCAGCCGCAGCTGCGGTGGCATCTGTCCCGGGAGCCGAATCGGGAGCTCCCGCGGCAGACGCTGCGTTTGCTGCTGCAGCAGCAGTTGCTGCTGCAGCAGCTGCTGCAGCAGTTGCTGCTGCAGCAGTTGCTGCTGCTGCAGCAGTTGCTGCAGCAGCAGCAGCTGCTGCAGCAGCAGCAGCAGCAGGGTGGCGAGGGAGTTGGAGTTGAAGGTTTGAAGGCGTTTTGTTTTTTTTTTTTTCATTGGAGGGGATCTTTTGGAAAGAAGAAAAGTGAAAAGAAGTTTCGGAGTTTCGGCGAAAAGCCGCAGCAGCAAAAGTGTGGGGCGTGGGGTGTACGTACACCCGAAGTGTGCAGCAGCAGCAGCAGCAGCAGCAGCAGCAGCAGTGTACGTACACCCCAGTGCGCAGGAGCGCGGAGTCTCGGAGAGAAGTTGGAGAATTAAAATCCAATTATAAATCCGAGCAGCAGCAAAAGACAAATTCTTTCTTCATTGTCCTTCGAGTTTGCTGCTGCTGCTGCAGCGTTTGCTGCTGCTGCAGTGGCAGGTCCTTCTCGGTTGACTTTCGAAGTTGTCAATGGAGACAATAAGTCAATTCAGATGCCACTTCCGAGAGTTGCTGCTGCTGCTGCTGCTGCTGCTGCTGCTGCTGCTGTTAAAGAAGCCCCTTGCTGCTGCTGCTGCTGCTGCTGCTGCTGTTAAAGAAGCCCCCTGCTGCTGGTGCTGCTGCTGCTGCTGCCGTCTTAGAGACGCAGATTCCTGCGGCTGAGGCTGCTGTTAAGTGCAGACGCTCGCTGCTGCTGCTGTTGCTGCTGCTGCTGCTGTCACTGGGGGCAGAGTTGCTGCTGCTGCTGTTGCAGCTGTTGCTGCTGCTACAGCTGTGTTGCTGTTTATTAGTCAGACGCGTTTGTAGATAGTGCTGCTGCTGTGCTTTGAGAAAAAGAGGTGTGCTGCTGCTGTTCCTGCTGCTGCAGCTGCTGCTGCTGTTCCTGCTGCGGCTGCTGCTGCTGTTCCTGCTGCTGCGGTCGGCGTACTGTAGCAACTGCTGCTGCCAGTGAGCTGGTGGTGTTGCTGCTGATGCTGCTGGTTCTGTATTGCTGCTGCTGATGCTGCTGGTTGTGTATTGCTGCTGCTGCTGCAGGATTGGACGATTGCTGCTGCTGCTGCTGCTGCTGTAGAGTTGAGCGGTTGAAGCTGCTGCTGGAGCGGGGTTGGGTGCTTGCTGCTGCTGCTGCAGCAAAAACCACCTGCTGCTGCTTTTGGTACTGTTGTGGTGGACGCCTTCTGCTGATGCTGCTGCTGCTGCTGCTACTGCTGCTGCTGCTGCTGCTATTGCTGCTGCTGCTACTGCTGTTAGGACGAACTGCTGTTGCTGCTGTTAAAGGCACCTTCTACTGCCACTTACTGCTTCTGCTGCCAAGATGCCTAGTATAACCGCTGCTGCTGCTGCTGCTGCTGCCAGTTGCAGCAGCTGCTGCTGCTGTTGCTGCTGCCAGTTGCAGCAGCTGCTGCTGCTGTGTATAGCCTACAAACTCTGTGGACTGCAGCAGCCAAGTGGCCCTTGGGAAGCAACTAATGCATTATTTAAATTTTTTAAAAAATGAAAATTAAAAATATTTAAAATAACATTTTGGAAAGTGTTTTTAAAATATTTCCAATCTAATTAAGTGTATATACACTGCTCCGATGTGCATCCAAAAAGTCCCATAGATATCTACAAACCCTAAACCCTAAACCCTAAACCCTAAACCCTAAATTTCGGACTATGGGTCTGCGCGTTGTTGCGAATTAGTTGAATTGTTTTCTCTTCTGAATTTAAATAAAAACTTTAAAAATGGTTTTTAAATTTAAATAAAAACTTCAAAAAATTTAAATTCAAAAAACTCTAATTCAAATGTGTGCATTTTGTGCATTTAAAAGCAAAGTTGAAGAAGTATTAATAAATCTTGTTTTGTTTTTTATTTATATTATCCTTGAAGTCCATTTACTATTTTAATTTATAAAAAAATCCTTTTAATTCATTTACTATTTTTATTTATAAATTAAAAAATATTTTCCAGAAAGTTTTTTGTTTGCTGCGCGTGCATGGGGTGTACGTACACCCGGCACAAGTTCGAAAAAAACGGAATTTTGAGTTTAAATGCCATTTTGAGTACTTTAAATGATTTTAAAATTAATAATACCATTAAAAATAAAATATTTGATTAAATGGGCTTTTAAAAGTGCTTTAAATGAATTATTTATTCAATTTTGGCAGTACAAACATACTTTTTGGGTGTATGTACACCTCTTCATGTAAATACACGCTAAACAACAAAATGTCATTTTAAAGGAAATCATTTTAAATGCAATAAAGATGCCATTTCATTTTAAAATGCCATTATTAATACATAATAATACATATTATTAATGGCATTTAAATAAACATGCCATTTTATTTCAAATTTTTAATTTAAGTTTTAAAAAGTGCACTTGCATGCGCGGTGTACGTACACCGCAGCTCCGGTGTACGCGCATGCATGCAAGCTGCGGTGTACGTACACCCAAATTTGTGGGGTTTTGCGTTTAAATAGTTTAATTAAATAAATATATTTTAAATGAAATTCATTTTATTAAATGAAATTTATTTTATTTGAAGTTTATTTTATTTCAAGTAGATAATGCAATCTTTGCAATTTTTACTTCATAAATGTTTTAAGCTCTGCATGCAAAACACCAAAACTTTTTATTTTTTTAATTTAATTTAATTTAATTTAATTTAATTTAATTTAATTTCATTTCATTTAATTTTGTAAATTAAAAGAATATGCATTGGTTTGTTTTGTTTCATAAAATAGAATAATAGAATTGTTTTTTGCACAATAAATGCCAGCTTTCCTATTTTGCTGCTGCTGCTGCTGCGGTGCTGCTGCTGCTGCAGCTGCTGCTGCTGTGCTGCTGTGCTGCTGCTGCTGCTGCTGCTGCTGGAGGACTTTGCATTATGGCAGTAGCAAAATAGAAAAAAGAAATAATTATTTAATTTAGAAAATTAATTCAATTATTTTTTGACATTTTAATTCGCACAGAGTTCTCATGCCCCCTGCTGGAGGGGCAAAAAAAAAAAACAAATTTCTTTTTGAGGCAAACAAATGCCCCACAAACCCTAAACCCTAAACCCTAAACCCTAAACCCTAGACTATAAGCCATTGCCATTTTTCAATGAGGGTTTGGGAAATTAGGGTTTTGGGTTTTGCCTTCGCTGTGGGGTGGTGCTGCAAAACCCTCGGGCCGCCTAGGGTTTAGGGTTTAGGGTTTAGGGTTTTCTGGCAGGAAGAGTTCTCAGGAAATTCGCTAGAAATCCTAAACCCTAAACCCCAAAACAGCGTATAGAGTCGGGGGCCCACGGAGGTAAGGAGTTCTGAAGCGGCCACAAAACCCTAAACCCTAAACCCTGAATCAGCGTATATCGTTACAGGCCCAAACGCGTGACGTGCAGGCAGCAGAAGCATAAGCGTTTGCTCCTAGGGTTTAGGGTTTAGGGTTTAGGGTCTTGTGAGGGTTTAGGGTTTAGGGTTTCCCGCTGCGCGCAAAATGCGGCGGGAAAGAGCTTCTAGAGAAGAAATCGCCTGAGCAGCAAAGCAGCAAAACAAAAGCCACAAAATTAGGGTTTAGGGTTTAAGAACAAAAGCCACAAAATTAGGGTTTAGGGTTTAGGGTTTAGGGTTTGAGAGGGCCTGCGCCGTGGTCTGTAAGCAGCAAAAGTGCTGAAGAAACGAAAAGAGCGGCCACTGCAACGAAGTGTTTTGCTGTTGCTGCAGTTGCTGCTGCTGCTGCAGTTGCTGCTGCTGCTGCTGTTGCTGCTGCTGCTGCTGCTGTTGCTGCTGCTGCTGCTGCTGCTGCTGCTGCTGCTGCTGCCTGCTGCTGCTGCTGCTGCTGCTGCTGATGCTGCTGCTGCTATTGCTGCTGCTGCTGCTGCTGCGGCCTTCAGCAGAGCCGCTGTGCTGTCTCGACAGCAGGGGAGTTTCTCGCCCTGCTGCAGCTGCAGGCGCCACTGCAGCAGCAACAGCAGCAGGAGCAGCAGCTGCAGCAGCAGGAGCAGCAGCTGCAGCTGCAGCAGGAGCAGCAGCTGCAGCAGCAGCTTTTGCTGCTGCTTCATTTGCTGCTGCTTTGTGGAAGGCGTAGGGCCTAGCTTTTGCCCGCTGCGCTAATTGCTGAATTCTCGCAGAGAGAACAGCTTGCTGCTGCTCCATGTCTGCTGCAAGCACTTCTTCCTGCTGCTGCTGCTGCTGCTGCTGCTGCTGCTGCTGCTGCTGCTGCGTTTGAGTGGCAGCAGCAACAACAGTTCGGTGTGAGGGCGCCGGGCCCGCAAGCAGCTTAGGTACAGGGCTTCTTGCTGCTGCTGCTGCTGTTGTTGCTGCTGCTGCTGCTGCTGGTGTTTCTTCGGTATCTGAAAAGCCCACGAGCTGCTGCTGCTGCTGCTGCTGCTGCTGGTGTGCGTCGGTGTCTCTAAGGTACTGCAGCACGAGGGGATCTACTTGTGCTGCTGCTGCTTCTGTGTTTGCTGCTGCTTGGCAGGCCTTGTCTGCTGCTCCTTTTGCTGCTTTGTGCTGCAGCAGAAAGAGCTGCTGCGCCAGTGCATCTCTAGCAGCAACTTCTGCGTCCCTGGCTTGCTGCAGCTCTGCTGCTTCTTGCTGCTGCTGCTGCTGCTGCCGCTGCAGCTCCTCCGCCTCGCGCTGCAGCGCAAATATTTGCTGCTGCTGCTGCTGCTGCTGCTCCAGGTGCTGCTGCTCAGCAGCAGCAAGCCTAGCCATCAGCCGTTCCACACGTTCTTTGTGCCTGCAAAATCCCCAAACCCTAAACCCTAAACCCTAAACCCTAAAACCTAAACCCTAAACCCTCAAACATAAAGACAAAATTTCAGCCTTGCTATAGCCTCCTGCGCGGTTACCTGCAGTCCCTGGGGGCCATCACGTTGCTGTGTCGTGAGGGTTTAGGGTTTAATTTAGGGTTTAGGGTTTAGGGTTTAAATTAGGGTTTAGGGTTTAGGGTTTAGCGCGCCTTTGAATGAGGGTTTCTCTCTCTTGTGCTGCACTTTCAGCAGCTTCTTTGAGTCTTTCTTGAAAGAGGGTTTCTGTTGATTTGAGTTTAGCAGCAAAAGAGTCTGCTGCTGCTTGCAGGGTTTGCTCTGCTGCTGCTGTTGCTGCTGCTGCTGCTGCTGCTGCGCCCCGCTGCTGCTCCAGCAGCAGCTTTTCATAACCCCCCCGAATTTCACATATTGCTGCTTCATGCGAAGCCCGCTGCTGCTGCAGCTCGTTGGAGTGCTGCAGCTGCAGCAGCTGCATCTCCTAAGCGCAGCAGCAGCAGCAGCAGCAGCAGCAGCAGCAGCAGCAGCAGCAGCAGCAGCAGCAGCAGCAGCAGGAAGCAGCAGCAGCAGCAGCAGCAGCAGCAGCAGCAGCAGCAGCAGCAGCAGCAGCAGCAGCAGCAGCAGCAGCAGTGCATGTTGGATCTATAAAGCTGCAGAACCGTTAGTTCTTCTACGCGAGAGGCCCACCCTAAACCCTAAACCCTAAACCCTAAACCCTCAGCACGAGTGCCTTGACGTAGAGGCCAAGCTATGGAGCTAGGCGCTGCATAAACCCTAAACCCTAAACCCTAAACCCTAAACCCTAAACCGTTACGTTTAAACCTTAGCTGCCGTGGCGAACCCCCTCGCTGCTCCTAAACCCTAAACCCTAGGTTCTAGACCCTAAACCCTAACCCCTACATCGTAAACCCTCAGCCCTGTGCCCAAACCCTAAACCCTAAACCCTAAACCCTAAACCCTCACTTGTTTGTGGCTGCTGAGGGCGTCTGCAAGGGCTCTTTCTGCTGCTGCAGCACTTGAATGGACTTTTCCTTTTTCAATTTCTTCTTCCAACTTTTCTTTTATTTTCTTTTTGTCTTTTATTGATTGAAGTTCCAAAAGATGACTCAGTCGCAGTCGCTCCACCGCTCGCCCGTGCTCTGCAAACCCCAAACCCTAAACCCTAAACCCTAAACCCTAAACCCTAAACCCTAAACCCTAAGCCCTCAGGCGGCCCTTTTGCAGCTTCGCAAGAGCCAGCGCTGCCCGGGACACAAACCCTAAACCCTAAACCCTAAACCCTCAGATGCTAGGAGGAAACGGAACTGAAGGGCCTGTACTGCCTGTCTAGGGTTTAGGGTTTAGGGTTTAGGGTTTAGGGTTTGTTACCTTCTAGGGTGTTTTTGAGGGTTTGGTCTGCTCTGTCTCTTTCCTCCTTTAGCTCTCTTTCTGCTTCTGCTTTTTGTTTATTTAATTGAGATTTAAATTCTCCTTCTCTCATCTGCAGCAGCAGCTCGTGCTGCTGCTGCTGCTGCTGCTGCTGCTGCCACAGGCGCTCCCTCAGCGCCTTCTCTGCTGCAGCAAACCGCTGCTGCTCCTCCTCCAGAGCTGCTGCGTGCTGCCGCTGCTGCTGCTGCAGCTGCGTGCGAGCAGCAGCTAACTCGGCCCTTAACTCTTCTATACTGGGCTGCAGCAAACCTGCAGCAGAAGCAGCAGCAGCAGCAGCGGCAGCAGCAGCACCCTCTAGAGCAGCAGCAGCAGCAGCAGCAGCACCCTCTAGAGCAGCAGCAGCAGCCACGGGAGACGCTGCAGGAGCAGCGCTTGAAGCAGCAGCAACAGCAGCTCCAGCAGCCGCATGCTTACGAGCACCAGCATCTGCAGCAGCAGCAGCAGCAGCAGCAGCAGCAGCAGCAGCAGCAGCAGCAACAGCAGGCTGACCCTTTTCCTCGTTTTGCCGCAGCAGCTGCAGCTGCTTGTGCTGCTGCGTCCTGAGGCTGCTGATTTCAACTTCCAATTCATTTATTTTGCTGCTGTTTGCTGCTTCCAGCTCAGCTAGCTCCACCTTGTGCTTGTTGGACAACGTCTGCAGCAGCAGCAGCAGCAGCAGCAGCAGCAGCAGCAGCAGCAGCAGCAGCAGCAGCAGCAGCAGCAGGATGGGATGGGGGATGCAAGAGCGAGAGCACAAACAGGGATCAAAGGAGCAGCAGCAACTGCAGCAGCAGCAGCAGCTGCTGCTGCTGCTGCTGCTGTTGCTGCAGTGGCCGATTGGAAGCAAAAGGCCGTTTGTGTTTTCCCACTGCTGCAGAGGAAGCCCGAGCGCCCACGCTAGGGTTTAGGGTTTAGGGTTTAGGGTTTAGGGTTTACGTTGATTTGCTGCTCGTAGGCCATTTGGAGTTGGATGACAGTTTCTGCAAGTTTGGATTTTTCTTCATCAATTCTTTTTTTGAAATTAATTTTTAAAAGTTTTATTTCTGTTTCTTTTGCTGCTAGCATTTCTGCTTCTGCTGCTGCTCCCTGCGGCAGCGTCACCAGCAGCTGCTGCTGCTGCTGCTGCTGCTGCTGCTGCTGCTGCTGGTCGAGCTGCTGCTGCAGCTGTTGCTCCTGCTGCTGCTGCTGCTGCTGCAGCTGTTGCTGCAGCTGCTTCAGCTCCTGCTGCAGCAGCTCCAGTGAAGACTCCAGCTGCAGCGTCTGCTGGCGCTGCAGACCACAAACCCCAAACCCCAAACCCTAAACCCTAAACCCTAAACGCTAAACCCTAAACCCTAAACCCTAAACCCTCACAGAGTGCAAGACGAAAAAGAAACAAACACGAAGGGGGCCAGATGAATTAAAAGCTGCTGAAGTAAACAACTTAAAATAAACAAATTAATTAATTAATTAATTAAAATAAGAAGAATAAATAAATTAAAATTAATAAATAAATTAAAATTAATTAATTAATTAAAATAAATCAATTAATTAAAATAAATTAATTAATGCAAATTAAATTAACTTACCAGTGCCTTGTTTTCTGCCTCAAGATAATCCTTGCCCCCCATGCCCAGCAGCGCCACTTGCTGCTGCTGCTGCTGCTGCTGCAGCTGCTGCTGCTGCTGCTGCAAACACGAAGGGGGCCAGATGAATTAAAAGCTGCTGAAGTAAACAACTTAAAATAAACAAATTAATTAATTAATTAATTAAAATAAGAAGAATAAATAAATTAAAATTAATAAATAAATTAAAATTAATTAATTAATTAAAATAAATCAATTAATTAAAATAAATTAATTAATGCAAATTAAATTAACTTACCAGTGCCTTGTTTTCTGCCTCAAGATAATCCTTGCCCCCCATGCCCAGCAGCGCCACTTGCTGCTGCTGCTGCTGCTGCTGCAGCTGCTGCTGCTGCTGCTGCAGCTGCTGCTGCTGCAGCAGCAGCTGCTGCTGCTGCTGCTCTGACGGCTTCAGGGCGGCCTCAACAGCAACTAATAAGGAGGAAGCCTCTTGCAGCCGAGCCTGTGCAGCACGCAAACCCTAAACCCTAAACCCTAAACCCTAAACCCTAAACCCTAGCATGATTAAAAGAAAGAAAAAAACACAAACCCAGTGAGTAGTACAAATAAATTTAATAAATTAATAAATTAAAAATAATAAATAAATAAATAAATAAATAAATAAATAAATAAATAAATAAATAAATAAATAGTTGACAATAAGAATAGATGAAAAATAAATAATAAATGGTTTTTAAAATAATAAAAAATGATAATACAGGCAAAGAGCAAAAACTAAAATAGAATTGAAAACAAAAACAGAAATTAAAATTAAATTAAAATTAAAATATTAAAATTAAAATTAAAATTAAATTTGAAATTAAAATTAAAATTAAATTTAAAATTAAAATTAAATTTAAAATAAAAATAATTAATTAAATGAAAGTGCTGCTTCACCTCCGCGCGGCAAATCTCTGAAGCGTCCCCAGAAGAAAGAGACCGCTGCGACTGCTGCTGCTGCTGCTGCTGCTGCTGCTGCTGCTGCTGCTGCTGCTGCTGCTGCTGCTGCTGCTGCTGCTGAATAGGGCGAAGGTGCAGTGCGCAGCAAGTCCCTCAGCTGTCTGCGCAATGCTGCGCAAAGTTTCTTCGAGGTAGTTTAGCTGCTGCTGCGGCTGGGGGCCCCCCAGTCCTGCTGCTGCTGCTGCTGCTGCTGCTGCTGCTAGCTGCTGCTGCTGATGCTGCTGCTGCAGCAGCTCCACGCAGCGCAGACCCTCAGCAGCAGCAGACAACACTGCCTCCAGCCCAGATATGAAGTCAGTGCTTACGGAAACGCTCCGGTCCGTGAGAAGCTGCTGCTGCTGCTGCTGCTGCTGCTGCTGCTGCTGCTGCTGTAGTCTCAGCTGCTCTTGTTGCAGTTCGAGCTGCTGCTGCTGCCGCTGCTGCTGCTGCTGCTGCTGCTTCCGCGTTTTTGTGTGTGGCTTCCTCTGCTTCTTTTTGCCTGCAGTGGCGGCCTTCTCCTCCCCCCCGCTGCTGCTGCTGCTGCTGCTGCTGCTGCTGCTGCTGCTGGTGGCTTTGCTGGCAGCAAAGGAAGTAGTTCTGCGGCTCCGCAAGCAGCTCGGAAGCCTCCTGCTGCTGCTGCTGCTGGGCAGCCACCTTTTGCTGCTGCTGCGGATTATGAAGCGGGAAGGGGCCCTTGACAGCAGCGCCCTTTGGATTGTGTCTTCTTGCTGCTGCAGCAGCGCAGCCAAGTCCTGCAGCGGCCCCGCGCCTGCTGCTGCTGCTGCTGCTGCTGCTGCTGCGCCCTCACTCAAACGCTCCTGAGCCGTCCTCAGCGACTCCGCGAGCTGCGCGCACAAACAGCAGCAGCAGCAGCAGCAGCAGCAGCAGCAGCAGCAGCAGCAGCAGCAGCAGCAGTAGCGGCAGTGAAGGAATGCGAGACACGCACGAAAGGCAGCAGCAGCAGCTGCTGCTGCTGCTGCTGCTGCAAAAGCAATACGATCGAAAAAGCGGCCATAAAGGCTGCAGCAGCAGCAACAACAGCAGCAGCCACACAGGCAGCAGCAGCAGCGACAACAGCAACAAAACCAGCAGCAATTCCACAATAGCAGCAGCAGCAACAGCAGCAGCAGCAGCAGCAGCAGCAGCTCACAGATCTGTTATCTTCTCTTAATTGTTTTGTTTCTTGCTGCTTATCTTCTGCATAACGTGCCAGCCTCTCAACTTCCTGCTGCAGCTGCTGCACTTGTGCTGCTGCTGCTGCTGCTGCTGCTGCTGCTTTTTCTTTCTCATTCTGAATGAAAGCAAAACACAAACACTACCCGTGCTGCTGCTGCTGCTGCTTCTGCTGCTGCCAGTGCCAGTGCTGCTTGTGCTGCTACTGCTGCTGCTGCTGCTGCTTCTGCTGATGCTTGTGCTGCTGCTGCTGCTGCTGCTGCTGCTGCTGCTAACCTCTTCATTATGCAGGTCTTCTTTGCTTCTCTCGAGTTGCTGCTGCAGCTTGCGAACCTCTGCAGCAAGAAGCCTTCCTTCTGCTTCTGCTGCCTTTTGCTTGTCTGCTGCTTCTGCTGCTGCTGCTTCTGCTGCTGCTGCTGCTGCTTCTGCTGCTGTTGCTGTTGCTTCTGCTGCTTCTTTTTCCTTCTTTTGCTCTTCAAAACGCCACGGAGTTTCGCATATCTAAAAAGTGAAACAAACGGAAAATATCCTAAAACACTGGCTAGCTAGCTAGCTAGCTAGCTAGCTAGCTAGCTAGCTAGCTAGCTAGCTAGCTAGCTAGCTAGCTAGCTAGCTTTGAGAAGCAGCAGCAGCAAAAGTAGTAGTAGCAGCAGCAGAAGCAGCAGCGAAGCCTTAGTCGCCTTGGCCAGCAGCAGCAAGAAGACAGAACAGCAGCACTTCCAGCAGCAGCAGCAGCTTAACCAGAAGCAGCAGCAGCACAATCAGCAGCAGCAGCAGCAGCACAACCAGCAGCAGCAGCAGCAGCACAACCAGCAGCAGCAGCAGCAGCACAACCACCAGCAGCAGCAGCACCACCAGCAGGAGTAGAAACAGCAGCACAACCAGCAGCAGCAGCAGCACCACCAGCAGGAGTAGAAGCAGCAGCACAACCAGCAGCAGCAGCAGCAGCAGCAGCAGCAGCAGCAGCAGCACCTGTTTGACGAATCTGAGGGTTTCGTGCTGCAGTGCTCTGAGGGTTTTGAAAAGAATTATTTTTTCTGCTTCGACTTTTTCCCGCAGCTGCTGCACTGTCTTCTCCGTGGCTCTTTCCGGCAGCGCAAACCCTCGCAAAGGGGCCTGCACAAACCCTAAACCCTAAACCCTAAACCCTAAACCCTAAACCCTAAGCCCTAAACCCTAAACCCTAAACCCTGGCTCTGAGGTGCTGGTGCGTGAAGTGCGCGTTGCAAAGAGTTGCTGCGGCAGTGAACTCCCCAACTGCCAAACCCTAAACCCTAAACCCTAAACCCTAAACCCTAAACCCTAAACCCTAAACCCTACTTGGAGTTGGAGAGCCTTCCACGCTGCAAGGTTGAGCTTGAGCCATTCGTTCATGGCCGGAATTGAAATGCTGCTGCTGCTGCTGCTGCTGCTGCTGCTGCAGCAGCAGCTTTTTAAACTTAAGAGCTTTTCCTCCAGTTCAAGCCGCAGCCGGCTAGCAGGGTCCAGTGCTGCTGCTGCTGCAGCAGCAGCAGCAGCAGCAGCAGGATCAGCAGCAGCAAGAGCTTCGCAGCTCTCATGCAAATCAGCTAGGGGGCCCCCCCGGGGGGCCCCCCGGGGGCCCCCCCGAGGAGTGGGCGAAAGGTCTAGCTCAAGCCCCTGCAGCAGCAGCAGCTGCTGCTGCTGCTGCTGCTGCTGCTGCTGCTGCTGGCTAGCTGCTGCTGCAGAAGCTGACGCCTCCGTGGCCCGCTGCTGAGCAGCCCGCAGCTGCGCCTGCGCAAACCCCAAACCCTAAACCCTAAACCCTAAACCCTAAACCCTAGATGGCGGCGTCAGCGCCTCGCAAAACTGCCGCCCCTCCGCGACGCGCCTAGGGTTTAGGGTTTAGGGTTTAGGGTTTAGGGTTTACCTGGAGCCTAACTATGGTTTGGTCTTTCGCAGCTAGCTGGCTAGCCATCAGCTTTTCTCTTAGCTGCTGCTGCTGCTGCTGCGCCCGCAGCCTGGCTTGCTGCAGCTGCTGCTTCGTCTTCTCCCGCAGCCGCTGCTGCTGCTGCTGCTGCAGCTGCGAGCTCTTCAGCCGCAAACCCTCAACCACCGACACAAGGTCCATGCCCCCTAATCGCAAACCCTAAACCCTAAACCCTAAACCCTAAACCCTAAACCCTAAACCCTAAACCCTGGTTGTGCGTGCGAGCGACCGCCGCTGGAAGGGGCGCGGAGGGAGAGCAGGTGCGAGAAATCCTCAGGCTCTGGAGCTTAGGGTTTAGGGTTTAGGGTTTAGGGTTTAGGGTTTAGGGTTTAGGGTTTAGGAACCTGCGAGGGTGTTTGCGAGGTGGTGGTAGCGCTGCATGCCGCCAATAAGGTCTCCTAATTCGCTGTTGATTTCGTCAGCAGCAAACCCTAAACCCTTGGCCAAACCCTCAGCAGCAGCAGCAGCAGCAGCAGCTGCTGCTGCTGCTGCTTCCGGCGCTGTGCTTACAGACCACAAGTCGCTGTCCTGCGCCAACGCACAAACCCTAAACCCTAAACCCTAAACCCTAAACCCTCGAAGCAAGGCCAGAAACGCGAAGACTCCAGGCGCCCAGGGATGACCTGCTGCTGCTGCTGCTGCTGCTGCTTCTGCTGCTGCTGCTGCTGCTTTTGCTGCTGCTGCTGCTGCTGTTAAGTGAGCAGCAGCAGCAACAGCAGCAGCAGGAGAGGCGTTTGCACTTTTCAAACATCTCAGCACACACACTCGCCTGCCATTTATTCTCCAGTAGAGGGCTTAGCAACGAGGGTTTAGGGTTTAGGGTTTAGGGTTTGGGGTTTAGGGTTTAGGGTTTAGGGTTTAGGGTTTACTCGGGTAAGGTTTGTGTCGGGTGCCGTCATGTCTGAGTGGTGTCTTGAGGGGGCCCCCGGGGAGGGGCCCCTGTGGCAAGTTTGGTGTTTCATCTTCTCAAAACCCTAAACCCTAAACCCTAAACCCTAAACCCTAAACCCTCACAAGCCCGAGGCCGGGGTGAGAGGCGGGGGCTGCTGGGGTGTCGGCGGTAGCGAGGGTTTGAGAAGGCGACCGCATTTTAGCGCGAAAAGAAATAAACCCTAAACTAGGGTTTAGGGTTTAGGGTTTAGGGTTTAGGGTTTAGGGTTTGGGCTCTGGAGGCTCAGTGGTCTGGTTCAGCCTCGCACGAAGACGCCCACCGGGAATGGGAGATCAACAACCCTAAACCCTAAACCCTAAACCCTAAACCCTAGGCCGCCGCTTATTGGCTTTGCAATTTATATTCCGCTGCATAAATGCATAAAGTTGTAAAGACGCTAAACCCTAAACCCTAAACCCTAAACCCTAGGGGGCCCCAGCGGTTCGCTGCGCGAGCAACCGGCCTGGACCCTCCAAGGGATTAGGGTTTAGGGTTTAGGGTTTGGAGTGCTCTTCAGTGTCTGGCTTGCAATTTATTAAGACTGTTCTTTCGCTTTAATTTGTCTTCTTTATCGAGCGCAAACCCTAAACCCTAAACCCTAAACCCTAAACCCTCGCTCGTCAGCTCGACGCTGTCTCCGACCGCCGCCGACAGTCAGGCCTACGAACCCTAAACCCTAAACCCCAAACCCTAAACCCTAAACCCTAAACTCTGCCTTTCTTAAAACGAGGTTATTCTTTGCCTTTTTGGCCTTCGCATTAGCCGTGGCGAGGGTTTAGGGTTTAGGGTTTAGGGTTTAGGATGCGGCTTGGTGGGCTCTGAAGATGAGCGTCGGCAGCAGCAGAAGTTGTCTAGGGTTTAGGGTTTTGCTATTCCTCTTTTTAGGGTTTAGGGTTTACAAATCTGAATCTCTAGACCCTTCTGTTTCTCTGCAAGCGCCGCTGGCCCCCGACGGGGGTTTGGGGTTGCCGCCAAACCCCGATTTAGGGTTTTCGCCAAACCCTAATTCAGGGTTTCAGCGCTTCGCAAACTCCAATTTTGCTGCTTTTTCTTCCCTCTGGCCCCCCCTGGGCCTCTCGAGGGTTTACGGGGGTTTTCTGCAGCTCAAAAGTGATAATGAGGAAACCCTAAACCCTAATTCTTCTCAAACCCTAAACCCTAATGAGGAGGAGGGCGAGGGCGGCAGCGAAGCAGAAGAAGGATCAGCAGCAGCAGCAGCACCTGCAGCAGCAGCAGCAGCAGCAGAAGAGGAGGAGGAGGAAGAGGCTGGCGAGGAAGCAGCAGCAGCAGCAGCAGCAGCAAAGCCCGCAGCAGCAGCAGCAGCAGCAGCAGCGCCGGCAGCAGAAGCCCCCGCAGTTCTCCCCGAGGCCTCAGCAGCAGCAGCAGCAGCAGCAGCAGCAGCAGCAGCAGCAGCAGCAGCACCAATGCCTCCTGCTGCTGCTCTTCTCCCGCAGCTTTCTTATGCTGATGGAAATGAACTTTGCAATTCTCTGTCTTGTCGAAAAGTCCTTTCGGGAGCCCAAACCTCCGTCCCCATTAAAGGTAACCCTAAACCCTAAACCCTAAACCCTAAACCCTAAACCCTAAACCCTAGTTGCTTCAGGGGCACAAACCTCGGTCTCCGTTAAAGGTAACCCTAAACCCTAAACCCTAAACCCTAAACCCTAAACCCTAATCGTTTCAGGGGCACGAACCTCGGTCCCCATTAAAGGTAACCCTAAACCCTAAACCCTAAACCCTAAACCCTAGTTGTTTCAGGGGCACAAACCTCTGTCCCCATTAAAGGTAACCCTAAACCCTAAACCCTAAACCCTAGTTCTTTCAGGAGCCACAGGCTCTGCTTCCATTAAAGCTAACCCTAAACCCTAAACCCTAAACCCTAATTTTGTCACGAGCCATACAGCCAGTCTTCAAGGATAGCCCCAGCCCCTAAACCCTAAACCCTAAACCCTAAACCCTAAACCATAGCAGCACGAATGCCAGTGGAGCCCCCCTCACGGAACTGCCCTCAGCCTTCAGCATCTAGGCTTTAGGCTTTAGGGTTTCGGGCTTAGTGTTTAGGGTTTAGGGTTTAGGGTTTAGGGTTTAGGGTTTAGGGTTTAGGGTTTGCGTGCAGGGTGCAAGAAGTACGTGAAGTGCGGCAGCTGCAAAGCCGGCGGAACCCCCGAAGCAAAATGCAGCTTTTGGAAACCCCCGAGGACACCGGAGTTGCTGCTGAGAAGCGGCACTTACTATGGACTCAAGGTTTGCTGCTGCTGCTGCTGCTGCTGCTGCTGCTGCTGCTGATAGTGCTGCTGCTGCTGCTGCTGCTGCTGATAGGGCTGCTGCTGATAGTGCTGAGGACACCTGAGTTGCTGCTGAGAAGCGGCACTTACTGTGGACTCAAGGTTTGCTGCTGCTGCTGCTGCTGCTGCTGCTGCTGCTGCTGCTGCTGCTGATTGTGCTGCTGCTGCGTCTGCTGCTGCTGCTGCTGCTGCTGCTGCTGCTGCTGCTGATAGTGCTGAGGACACCTGAGTTGCTGCTGAGAAGCGGCACTTACTATGGACTCAAGGTT